GCATCGTCTTGGCCTTCTCCGCCTGCCGAGTCCAGCGCCGGACGGGAGGGGCGGGTGACGGAGCTCAGTTCTCCCCGCCCCCTCAGCCCGCGGGCGGGGCCAGGGACGGTGCGAGCCTGCGGCGGTTAATTACCCCCCGCGCGCGCTTAGCGGAAGGGCCGCCCTCTGTCTTCCGGCGTGGGTCCCGTGCGGGGATAGAGAGGGTGGTGTGTTACGGTTCGGGTTTCTACAAATTTAGGGCTGGGTCTTTAAAGTAGTCAGAGAGACAGGAATTACTGCTTTGCAAAGCAGCCAGTTGAACTGGCTGAAGTTTGTCTACATCTTGTGTAGATATTAGTCATTCATGAAAAAAAGAATGGGAAAAAAAGGCCTGTTGGTTATTACAGATAATAAATAATACAGTGAAAAGTTTTAATTGAGCTGCTAGGTACTATCTCTTCAAATAGTAAGTGGTGTGAGTCGTTCAACTAATCTTGAGACAGTTTAAGTGGAATTGGACCTTTTCAGAACCCTTGGCCAGTCTTTCTCATTGACTGTATTTACAGTCAAAGTAATAGGAAGACAGTCTCCCACCCTGTGTGTTTTCAGCTCATATTTGAGGAACATGGACCGTGGGTTTAGATGAATCTGGGAAATCTTAAATTTCTGTTTAATTGAGACTTCACATTGTAAATAAAGCAGCTGAAATTTCAAAGTTAAAACATTTTATTTGTTAAACCAGTTTTGGTTAAAAGTTTAAAAAAAAGAAGTGGAAAGCACTGAAATAATTCATTACAAGGAGAACACATGCAGAGGGGGGACTGTTAGGTGTGTCATTTGATACTGCAGAAGTATACCCATAATGGTTTGACATGCATTGATTCAACTGGGAAATTGATACCATAATCCCATTCATTCTACTTGTATGCTTTTAGAAGAATATGAGGCTGTAGGTTGTTTCTGATGTGGCTTATTGAAAACCAGTATTGCTCTGTGGCCTTAATACAAGTTAAGAGCTAAATGCCTGCTAAAAGAAAAATTACTGGGTTGATCATTCCAAGAATTGAAATACATGTAGCTCGCCTAATCTTGAGGTTAGAAAGGCTGTTTTCATGGCAGAATCTCTATGAAGTTCTGTAAAAGAGCATATGACATTTAGGAAGTATTTTTCTTTTGCTTGGCATGACAACAATATCTGAAAGTAGAGACTTTCCACTCCTCTGGATAGTTAGATCTCCAAACTAAGAGGGGAAGAACTTGAATCAGCAAGTTCTCTCTGATGTATTCACAGGCATACGTTACAAATGCTGACAAAAACTGTGCAATCTGGTCTTAGGTAATATATATGACTGGAATTAAAGTTTTCAGAAAACAATGCAGGGTTTTTAACCTTTAATGTTTCATCTTTCCTTTGAAA